GTATTTCTTCAGTATTACCTGTATTATAGATTAAATTAAATTTATTGTTGCAGATTTATAATTTGCCAATATATATATATATATATATAAGTGTGTGCGTGTGTATAAAAATTCAGATAGAACTAAATATATATCTGTAAAAGGACAATATGAATAATGACAAAAGGAAAACTTATCTTAGCTGATGTGTTTCATCCTGTGAGGGACTTTATCATGGATTATATTTTGCAATAATACCAAAAATGTCGTTACTTTTTCGAAATTTTTAAATTTAATAAATATATATCAGGTTAACTGAAAAGTTTAGGTAAATTATGGAGGATGGTAAGTGACGTAATTTAATGTCTAATAAAAGTCAGTGAATCATTGCACTTACCTTGATGAAGTCCATCAGAGGACGAAACGCGTCGGTTATGATAAATTTTCCTTTTGTCTTTCTTCACACACACACATACACACACACACACACACACACACACACACACACACACATATATATATATATATATATATATATATATATATATATATATATTACTATAAAATGTATTTTTATTGGTTACACTTATTTGAGTTGCTATGCGTTTTTTCTTTTCTTAAACAGCGAAATTAATAAACAACTGGCCTAAATCGAGAAGTTCTACTATATATATATATATATATATATATATATATATATATATATATATATATATATATATATTCACCCCAAAATTGATAAATTTGTTTATACCTCGTTTTTAGTGTTTATTCAGGAGTTTGATAACGTGTAATGCTCAAAAAGTATAGCAACAAAACGTCATTATCACATTTGGTCCGCGCAGGACAGCAAGAAATAAAGAAAAGCAAGAAAGAGAAATGAATGAAAGAAAGAAAAGAAAGAAAGAAAAATGAATGAAAGAAAGAAAGAAAAAAAAGAAGGCAAGAAAGAAAGAAAAACGAAAGAAAGAAAGAAAGAAGGGAAGAAAGAAAGAAAAACGAAAGAAAGAAAGAAAGAAAAAAAAGAAAGGAGGCGAGAAAGAAAGAAAAATGAAAGAAAGAAAAATGAAAGAAAGAAAAATGAATGAAAGAAAGAAAGAAAAGAAAGAAGGGAAGAAAGAAAGAAAGAAAGAAAGAAAGAAAGAAAGAAAGAAAGGAAAGAAAAGAAAGGAGGCAAGAAAGAAAGAAAAATGAAAGAAAGAAAAATGAATGAAAGAAAGAAAGAAAGAAGGCAAGAAAGAAAGAAAAGTGAAAGAAAGAAAGAAAGAAAGAAAGAAAGAAAAGAAAGAAGGCAAGAAAGAAAAATGAATGAAAGAGATGAACAAAGCCTGAAAGGCATAACGCAGAAAAGAAAGAAAAAAGAAAGAAAGAAAAGAACGAAAGAAAAACAAGAAATGATAATGAATGAAACAGATGATCAAAACTTGAAAGAAAGAAAGAAAGAATATATCATGGAAAAAAAACAGAGAAAGCTGAAAATAAAATTATTTAAAAAATAGGGTTAGAGGAAAATCTGCAGCAACAAACAGATGAGTGGGCAGTTGAATAAAATGATGCAGAAATAAATTTAAGAATGGAAGTAAACAATAACGGTAATGCAATAAAGGAATAGATAAATTAAAAATAGAATGAATTTTACTGAAGAAAAAGATGTGGAAAAAAAAACAAACACAAAATATATTTGCAAATGAGAACATAGGAAGAGAGAATTAATTAAACAAAGATGGAGGTCCGATTAAATATGAAAGCGATTGTGTAAATCACAAATTCACCAGAAAACTTAAACTCAAAGAAATCGTTAATTTTACCATCGCGGAACCCAACGAGACTTGAGGTTAATTTTAAGAAAGCCTGTAATTAAATTTCTTTCCTTTTCTCGTTTGTTATCACGTTCTCGTGTCACCTGGCTGATCCGTAGCGTAATATCCGACGTTTGCATAATTCATTAAAAACGATTTATCATCTAATTTCGAGATATGTCGGACGTTACGGACTGCCAGGCGACATCTGTTCAATGTCTATATAAAATAACTTTGGCGGTTGTGATATTGTGCGCATGTGCACACGCATGCGTTTCAAGCAGGAAAACGCTCAAATGAACGTCTGCAGATTATCTCACACAGATGATCATGAACAAAATAGGTTTGCATATCAATACATAACAAATGCCTGCAGGCGCTTCCACAAACCAGTGTGCATGTGAAGGTTTCAGAATACATACTGATATATAGTCATAAAATGTGTCGAACAAACATGCATAAAATATATGCATACATATTGTAATGGTAATATTATCCCTTTCCTTATAAGGAAACATCCGGCATTCATTGACCGAGCATTTAGACTTGCTGTCGGTGGAAATTTATAAAGTATTTCTATCAAAATATTTCTTTCAAAAAAGTAGATTTCTCAAGTGCAGTAGCTGTTATCGCTCTTTCCAGTATTGATTGGGGTTTCCTTCCTAGCCTTTTGTTTGAAGTAGTGTGGAATGTCAGCATCTCGATTATGTCATTATTTTCTCTTCGAGTTACATGTGCTATCCATTTTAGCTGTCGCTGTTGTTGAATGTCCCCAAGTGATTGGGTTTCTGTTATTTGGTACAGTTCTTTATCTGTGATTCTGTAAATGTGATTCTTATAAAGTCGTTGTATACAGCCGGTAGTTTAGATATTTCTGGGCGAGTTTAGTTCCATGCGTGGCATCCATATGAAATATCGATCTGACCGAGGCTATTCAAGAATATGGCTCTTGTTAACCAACTATCCATCACCATGAGGTGGTTTGTTTCACTAGGAAATCAGGGAACGCGAGATGCTTTCAATCTTTAATTCGTGCAAACATACTGTCTATACGCATTTTTTGATCTTATATTAAGGCTTAAACAAAGAGAATCCATCACTGTCAAGATTCAACGCCCACAGGGTTCAACCCATCCTCATCCATTTCCGATCTGACCAGTACGGTAGGGTTTGTTATTTTGGGCCAGCATACGCATTTTCTAACAAATTCGTTGTCTTTGTGAGCCTGCAACATTTGAAAGTTAAGATTTCGGTTTCATGTGTTCTGACAGAGGACGGTAAGTGTGACACTGAGATCCGAAGAAGTATTGGGATGGCCAAAGACGCATTCCAAAAGCTAGGCAGAGTATTAGGAGACAGGAGGAAACCAAGAAAAGAGTGCTACGTGATATCTGTCCTCCTTTACGACAGAAAAAGATGAAAAAGACACTCAAGGCAGCAGGAGTGTGTTTCTACAGAAGGATTCTGAGAATACCATGGATCGAACATGTGAGCAACGGTGAGGTTTTGGAGAGGATGTAAACAAATAGGAAACTCATACTTAACATCAGGAAGAGGCAGCTGAGATTTCTGGGAGACATAATGAGAAAGAAGGGCTTGGAAAATCTGATACTCACAGGGTGGATAGAAGGAAAGAGGGATAAGGGAAAGCAACGCGTGACATACTTAATGGGCTTGAGTAAGTGGATGGCAGAACAGGGTCTGGGAGGATAAACAAAATGTCAAAGCTTATTGAGGGCTACAAGAGACAGGAGGAAATGGAGAGCCATGATCGCCTACATCCTGAAGAAGAAGACAGTAACATAAAATAAGGTAACATAAAGGCAGTAACATAAAGTAACGCAAGATGCACTAACATAAAGGCAAAAGGTAGTTGCATAAAGTAACGTGCATGAGGCAGTAACACAAAGTGACGTAAGTAACGTAAAATAAAATTATGAGAAGTAACATAAATTAACGTAACATAAGAGCATGGGGCAGTATCAAAAAGTAACGTGTTATAATGGCAAGTGACAGTAACGTAAAGTAACGTAATAGAAACGCATGAGCATAAATACACTAACAAGTCAACGGCTGTGATAACTAAAGAAAACTCTGTTACAACCTTTGTCAACCCTGACAAAAGACCAGTATACGTGCTTAAGATTCTAACTGGGCGACAGTAAATAAAAAGAACAGCTGTCTTTAAGTAAAAAAAAACAAAAAAAAAACACTTCCCTTTTGCCAACCTAACGACTTTGGATGATTGTAATTGAAGAGCCGGCTAAAACTGTATTTTTTTTTTGTTTTTTGTTTTTAAAGTTTTCAAGAAATAAATATTTGAGATTACTTAAAATTAGTATGGACTGTAATGAAGCAAATTCTTCATATATATATATATTTGTCTATATTTGGGGGGGGTCTCTCTCTTTCTCTCTCTTTCTGTCTATGTTTTCATTTATTGAAATTTTCACCTAAAATGTTTCTTGTGATTCTAACAAGAATATTAAGTAGACTATGACATTTTTAACAGGTATGTTGACTACTTATTGCTTTTGTTACATGTTGTAAGCACAGAAAAAATCCAAGCAAATCAATATTCAACAGATGTTATCACATCAATCAACGTAAATGTAGAAGCAAATGGTTTTATTGAGAAATGTGGTCATGCGAAAAGTAAAACAAAACAAAAAACATGCAAACTCATTTGTTTTTATTCCTTTAAATGATTGTTGCTTGAGATTTTCAGGCAAATTTTAAGCAGAAGCGCGAATTATCATTCCTGTTGTTGTGTCATCCATCCTCACTTGGCAGCACATATTGTGGCCTTGTAAATATGTTTTTTTTTTCTATAGGATTTATGAAGTATTTTGGTATTTTAAGCAACCATTCATTAATATATATACAGGGTTCGAAAGAAAAAATTGTATGTCCAAATTACGCAAAAATGAAAATAACACTGACATCTCATTTTAAGATATATTTACCAAGATTACACAAAAATATCTTGAAATACTAAAGAGTAAATTCATTCAATAAAATTGCCATTAGCTTCAACAACGGGCTCCAGACGACTTTGGGATCTCCTGCAAATCTTCTGGACGGTTTCCTTGCTTAAGTTGGTGAATACTGCCATAATTCTTACCTTCAGTTTATCTTTGGTATTACTAGGTTTTTTTTTTTTTTTGGTCTGTCGATCAACTGCACCCCCCCAAATAATAATCAAGGGTGTTGCAGTTTGGGGAGTTAGGTGGCCAGATGTAAGGGATGTCGTGGTCGCAGAAATTATCTGACAGCCATGACTGGATTCTCCTGCTTGTGTGGCATGGTGCAAATTCCGGTTGCCAGATATAGGGTCTTCCAGCAGTTACCGTCTTGATCCAGAGCAGCACTACCTCCTCAACGTACTTGATGTAGAACTCTGTGTTGAGTCTGAAGCCCTGTGGGAAAATGAATGAAGGCATAACTTCGCTATCATTAGTGATCACTCCAAACACCATGATGTTGACATCCAACTCTTTCCGAATCCTCTGCACTGTCCTCAAATTGACATCCAAACACATGTTCGTATTCGAGCTTCCGGCACGAATGCCAAACAGTACAGCATGCCGTTTCCAAATTTTTGGAGAAGTGAATTGCGTCATGGTATTTTTTCTCATAGATGGTGCCCAACTGACCCTACTATACTGCAGTCAACAAAATCAAAAACAACAAAATTAACAATAAAAATAACGCGAAATTAACCATATAAATAGCGAGAATTTTTCCATCGCACCCTTTGTATATATATATATATATATATATATATATATATATATATATATATATATATATATTACAATGAATCATTCATACAAAAAGTAGATTAGTAAAGTTAATGATATAAAATGACGAAAACTCTTCGCAAACAAAATTTTAAAGTTGCATTAACCTACAAACCACTCGATGAATGTTATGATCCTTGTTTTTAATAACTACAAGCTGTATAAGGTCTTTTTTTAATCTGCTAGTACTTTCAACTGTATATATATATAATTATTTTGTTTTTAGTAAATCCAGGTAGCATTGAAGACGGAAGATTAAATGCGAATCGAAATATGTTTCTTTAGAAATGTGTTATTAACGGATAAAAAGTTTTGGAGCGTGCGGTCGCAACGCTAAGGTTGAATTTTTTTGAAAATTTAAGAGAGTGCATTTTTTACTAATATGGTAATTTGAGAATTTTTTTGTTGTAGGAGTTTATCAGTCAATGTGGCATGAACTAAATTGTTCAATAAATAGAGTAATGTCTCAGCTGTTATCCCGAAAATTTGCACGTCGGATCAGTTCTTTTACTAATCTACTTTTTGTATGAATGATTCGTTGTAATATAAATTAAACTGCACCACATATTTGATTTAAAAGAACTGATCCGACGTGCAAATTTTCGGGATAAATTATATATATATATATATATATATATATATATATATATATAAATAATAAATATAATTAGGATATTACTTTTTGTAACATTTTATTATTTTGCTATTTTCTTTATAATTTGTTTTAGTTCTTAAAAAAGTCACCACCAAAGTGAAAATTGATTGACTATGTATGCAAAATAAAAAAGAATAAAAATTACAAATTTGCATTTTAATGCATTTATTTTTCAATTTGCTCATGATATTTAATTTTTTCAATCATGATATAATTCAATTGTACTTGTGTATTTTACAGTTTATAGATATAGCATAGCATACAAACTTAAAAATGAACAAAAACAAGTTCTAGAAGGCTCCAGAATGTTCTAGAAGGCTTCAGAAAGTCTTAGTATTACAAATATACGATTTTAGAAATTTCGGGTTGTCAGGTAACATTTTAAAAAAATTAAACTGAATTAAAACATTCTTCCTTATTTTTGTGCAAAAGTACATCGAATTATGATACAGAAAATCAATTATTTTACAAAAAGTCATAACCCTCATATATATATATATATATATATATATATATATATATATATAACTTAATATTTACAGACTAGAGACGGATAAGTCGAACATTTAATTTTTGTCATTAATTCTCTATCTTTTGATAATGTGCACTTTTTTCAAACGCTGCTTTATTCTTTTATTTTACTAAACGCAATCCTTATTATTGTTATATTATATATATATAT